CGGGCCGCACAGTCTCAGTGCGGTCCGGTCAGGGATTGACTAGTGGGGGGGATAACTGGTGCAACTATTACGACACCTGAGTACTGATGTATGTAGTGAGCTGGCTCTTAGGAGGAGTTATGCAAATATCAAAATACTTTGATAGGTGAATGTCAGTCTGGAGGAGAGCAAATTCCTAGACAAGCTGCATTTGCATGTAGATTGCAATAGATAACACATGTGAGGCTGGGCTTCCATGTTGGAAAAAACTGAAATCCAAAGAATGAAAGGAGAGTGCCAGGGACTGCAAGACTGGGAAGGTAGGAACTAGCATATGCTGGATGTCCTCCAGCCAGGAAATGAGGTGGGCTCTATCTGACACTGTGAAAAGCACACAGTGCTCATGAAATCAATGTAAGTAACTTCAGTACAGAAGAGGAACATGTGCGACTATGTAAGATTGAAGGTATTGCTGGAGTTGAGCTTTAAAATGAGTCATTTCTTTTGTTAAATCAGCAGCTTGGGTGCATGCTCATTAGAGCTGCAACAGTTAATCGATTTAGTCGATTAAAATCGACGATTGAAAACGTTACCAACGTTTTCGATCGTCGATTCGTCGGAGGCTGCCTATCAGTTGGAAAATCAATAAGAAGTTGCAGGAGGCAAACCCAGCCCTTAACTTTCTTGGTGAAAGCTGAGATTAATATAGTGGACAACCATGGGTTTCACACAATTTTGCCTACAGAATGGCTTTAAAACCTCCTTTAGTATAGTGCCATGCGAGCACCTGTCATTGACTCCTGTACAGCACTGAAGGATGTGGCAGGAGCTTTCCTGCCTGTATTTTAGGTTAGTGGTGTTTGGCCAATTAGTTTTAAACAGGGAGCTTTACTTAAAGCATGCAACACAGGCTCTTAAGATGCCTAAAGAAACAAGAGCAATACCCAGATAGCAAGCAATTGTGCTGCAAGTTTGAAAATGACTTGCTAAACTATTGCAGACTTGCTAAGCTTCACAATTTTGTTGCACAATTACAGCAAGTCTGCATTGCAAGTCTCCAGACCAGTGAGCTTGCAGAGCTCTTGCTAAGACCTGCAGGACTCTTGCTGTAGACTTGTCAAGCAAATTTGCTACAAATTCAAAAAGTGTCAACTAGAATTTGTGTGCAAGTGCTCTGCAAGTCTACAACTTGCCAGGAATGTGTGCAGCAAGTTAACAAGAATTACAATTTAACCCTGCCACAAGTTTGTGGCAAGTTATCCTTGCTATCTGGGTAGTTATCTCTTTCTTAACCCTTCTGTTTTTAGAGTCATGGAAAAAGCATTCTGGGAAATACTTGTTTGATATTTTTACATTTTTTTATTAGTTTGGATAGAGGCATGTTTTCCTATATAGTAAATACATTTTGGTTAGAATGGACAAGCAGGATCTAAGAAGAAGTTTTGAAGAATCAGTATTACCACGTATGCTGTTGTCATGATTGGGCAGGCAGGCACTTGCTAGAAAACAGCAAGCCAATATACCATCTGTTGTTCTTTGAAAATACCTTCCTGTGTAAGGCCATCTTAACACTTAAAGTGACATTAAAGTCTGCTCTTTTTTTTGTTCCCCCATTCTAACTCTGCTTTTAAAGGAGAACTATGAGCTGAGTGCTTTTCACTCACCTCATAGTTCTAGCCGACCTGTGACAATGAGAATGTCAAATTTCGGCTCAGTAGAACGGGAGGTGAGCGAACACATACCGGCGTTCGCTCACCTCTTGATCCTGTCACAGCCCTCTGCCGTGACAGGGGAGGGGCTGGATTCCCCGCTCTGATCCGCCAGCGCTGACTGGCGGATCGGACGGGGGAGGGTACAGCTGGCTCTGCCTCTAGATAGGCAGAGCCAGCTGTCACTCACGCAGCTGGGCGGATCCAGACATAATTGTCGGTATCCGCTTCAGCTGTGGCGTCTCAGTATACCGCGAGCAGTAGCTATACTGAGCTTATGGTGATGGGAGGACGCTAGTTTGTGTCCTCCCGTTACCCTAAGGAAAACTATGGGGAAAAGCTTTAACCCCATAGTTCTCCTTTAAGTACTTAACTTATGTGATGCCTCTTGATGCGATAATTTTCCTTCTTTCACTTGTTTTCAGCAGTCTCTCCAGCGCTGGTGCCAGTCTCTGTTCCAGCGCAGACTGCTGTTTCTTCCTGTCCCATGGAGTCTGTCTGGTGCGCACGCTCACGGCTGCGTGCATTCACTTCTATTGTGTCTCTCCTCCTCTTCCCGCCGGTGATATGGCCTGCGCATGCACCCACCCACATCATCATCCTGCAGGGCCGTTCGGAAGATATGTTCTGCAGCCGGGAGCGAGCAGCGCAGACAGAGGTAAGTATTTCATGTTTTGACACTTTTTAAAATGTTTTTGCATATATCTGCTGCTTCCTAGCAGCAACTGCTTACATAAATCACCACCCATAGGGTAAAAGAGGATTGGATATGATATTTATCTAATTATAAAATGTTTTGCGTGTGTGTATGTATATATATATATAGAGAGAGAGAGAGGCATAGATAGGTTCAGTCCTTGTTTGAATGGAAATGCACGTTGACCCGGTGTGGGTTGACGATTGTTGTTCAATGCTTTATTGTCTCCACGTTGTACTTCTGTAAAAACTCAATAAAACTTACTTGAAACAAAAAAAAGATAGGTTCAGTCCAGGGGAGAGGAGAGAAAAAGGGAGAAGAAAAAAATATATATATGTGCGTGAGGCACCTGTTGTTTCTTCCATATTCATTCAGAACACAGAGATAACAGCTGACAATCCAGGAAGTGTTTATCATTGTATAATTTAGTTTATATTTAGATATGGTTTGTTAATCCATCCAACTTCTACCTTGGGTTTCCCCATTTTTTACACAACTGCTTACATATATCTACTTGCTAGCAGTAGCTATATGTAAAAAAAAACAGAGACTTTAATGTCACTTTAAGCACTGGGTCATTGGACCTAACTCTGGTTTAGGCATAGGTAGTCTGATCTTTAACAGATTTAGCCATATAAGGGTTCACACAAATCTTTAGATGTTCACACCTTAACCAAATGTCCAGTGCAGTGACCATATACTTGTACAGATGTGATCATGGATCGAATATGTGGACCATCCCATCAGATGGAGTGAATACCTGTCCGGTTCACAAGCACCCCATTCACAGACCTAACTTTCATTATTTCAGAACTGAAACAACCATATCTGCCTGATAACTATGCTTTGTATGGCCTCTCTAAGCTTGCTATAGAAAGGCAGATGTGCCACTGATACTTATGTGCGTTAGGGTCTTTAAATGTTCTTACTACTAGGACCCATGTGGGTATGCCTGGTGAGAGGGTTTTACCCTTTTTATGCATAGAAAAGAAAACAACCTAGGCTTGATCTCTCAGTCTCCAGCATGTCAATAAATGTCTCCGGCATGTCCATATGTGTGTTGTTATGAGGAATGTTTTTTTGCTCTGTTAAAAAGCTCTACACAGCTTGACCACTGCACGCAATTCTAAGCACTGCTGCATCACTTGAGGTTATTAGCTGCATATGGCCACCATGAAGGTGTAGGGGACTTGCCCTGAAAGAAGCAAGGATTACGCATTCTTAAAAAAAAGAAAGAAATGTGAGTTGATAGAAATAAGTCTTAGCAGGAAACCTTGACAAGCTCTAGAGAGATTTTAGTGAAAAGAAACCCATGATTAGCCAAAGAAAAGTGTTGGATTTCGCCAAAATAGTGGAAATCCAGCCAGAATTAGACGTGTTTAGTAAATACTTAAACTAAGTGTTTTATTCAAAAGGACCACTATAATGTCAAGGTAATTGATTTAATGTTAGAAGCAATGGGTTTTTAATGGCATAAGTGCAGAGTGGGTTAGGGCAAGTGTTTATATTGTGGTCAAGGTAGCTATTAAAAGAGGACTTATTGTGTAATCCCACTTATATATGTAAAGTAAATTACGGTTATTTTGTATAGTAATGGGAAGTGCATTTTACTGCATTTTCTGCTTCGTATTTGCATTTTCATAAATAGCTTTATGGTCTGCTGTGCTATAATGCACAGTAAATGATGTATTCCCCACTTGAACCCCATTCTTCTTTTCAAAGTGGCTGGATTAAAACAGCACTGATGTTTAGATAACCAATTTGTAATGTATTCTGTAGTTTTTATTTCTTTTCTGTTAGTGAACCTAGGCCACCATTGCTAATATTGTATTAACAGAACAATACTTTATGTATTCCTTGGGACATGTTTCCAAGTATGAAGATAGTAAGATAGACAATCTTGCTTACTTACAGCCTGAGTATTACTGTGCAGGGAAACACAGAAGTCTAATATCGAGACACATTGATCTACTTAAACCAAATATTGTTATCATTTTGATCATTCCTTTTTTTAATTTGACAAAAACCCTCTATTTCTTCCTCTGACCTTTAGTTTAAAGTTGACCAATAATCAAAAAGAGAAGATTTGCTATGTTATAGAGGACTTTTAGAAACGCTAATTGTGCCTACGTAGTGCCTTGTGCCTAGAATTCCTCCAAAAAAATAGCAGTGCACCTCTGGTATGTGAGTGTGCCTAGGCACTCCTATGTCTACAGCCTCGGTGTGAGATCTCAGGCACTGCTGCTTCTGACTGATAATCTCAGGAGATTTGGAGTGGGATTCGGCATTACTGAGCTGCTCACTGTTTTCATTGCCCTGGCATGAGATTGCAAAACCCTGCTTCTAGCGTTGGCCACTTCCACACAGAACAAGGCATGGTAATTCGGTAATATGGGCCGTTTAGCTGGAGGGAGATCACATGCAATTCTAGTGACTATCCATTTGCCTTTTGTCTCCTGTATTTTGTCCATAGCAGGCAGAGTTCAGTTTCTCTTTAAGCTGTTGTATGTTGATCTAACAGAAGCAACTAAGACTTAAAAATATTTCTGTAATATTGTAAATCTGCATTTCTAGAATTGGTGCATACTACTAATTACCTCCCTCTTTCTTTTCAGGACGCAATAATGCTTGTGAAAAAACGTCATACCTTTTCTTGCGGAAGGAACTACCTGTACGACTTGCCAACACACTGAAAGAAGTCAATCTACTGCCTGACAGTTTACTCCAAAGGCCATCAGTCAAGCTAGTACGATCCTGGTAAGCTAAAGCTCACATTTGTCTGGTCTGAATGGATTATATCTGTCCCCTTATATATGTATGCTGGTACTGCTTGTTGTGCTGTGGTTTAGGACAATGGGCTGTAAATGTATGTCCTATTTTTAATCAGTGAAGACCCTAGAAACTACTAACAATGGCTCATAGCTGCTGATCACTGTCAATGGCCAAGGCTTACGCGCCAAAACACAGTTTAAAGCAATGCTTTGTCATTAACAAAATATGTTTATTTACTAATTTCTGCAGCCAGGAGCAAAGCCTTCTGAGCAGAATGCCTTCATTCAGAAAAGCCTGATAAATTCTTGGTCACCAAAAAAGGTAGATTTTTTTTTCAGCAGCATAGATGAAAAACAAATGGATCCCCCTCAGCTTCTTAAAATAAAAAAAAAAAACAGCTCTGGTTGCTATGTTCACCTCTGGGCATCAAGACTGTGCCCTCTACCCTTGATTCACAGGAGAATGTTGCAGATCTTTTAAGGTCCGCCCACTACTGTAAGAAAAAAGAGGGCAAACAAGACCAGTGATGTCACTGGACCAAAGACACTTGGACAAAAGGTCTGTTTATAGATTTTTTTGTAAAGGGTGTTGGGGACCTAAAAGGGAAGGGGGACCTGAGACCAGAGTTGGGCAGCTTCTAAATTTAAAGCATTTACAGCTTCTAAATTTAAATAGACTTTCCTGCTTAAGACAGGGTAGCTACAGGAGCATGGCTGTGGTTTAAGAATTAGGGAAACTAATTGATTTCCAAATCTGTGCAAATAGGTGGGTCAGGCAGAGAGGATTCATGAAGATATTCTTGTGTGAGAGCGGCAAGATTTAAATCTCTTATTGTATACTTTTTTTTACTGCAATCAAAGGCTCCACTGGAGAGATTCCTTTACTTTCTGTCCAGTTGTCCCCAGGAATGGAAGTGAGGGGAATTTTCAGAAGCAGAGGCAGATCTAAAAATGCTTTTTTATGCTAATTAGGGGAATACCTTTTCTAGTTGTTTATTGTTAACTGTTTCGCTAAAGTCTCTGTCGGAGCCCTGGAAAGCACTAAAACCTGACGCGGAATTTAACCTTACCCCATTCTATGCAACATTTTTTTAAAAGTTCAGAGCATAGATACAGTTTAATTATTAAATACAGTTTGCACAATTTCCTCAGACTGAAAAAAATGGCATCCAAAATATTTAGAAGATTCATATCATGATTCAGCTGAAGTTATCTGATTTTCACAGGGTCGGAAAACAGTGTTAGGCGATTCCTGTGGTTTTGCAAACATCAAGCAATCAGAAAAATGCCTTGGTGCAATGGTTATTAGCCATTCGGCATCCACTGGGATAAAGTCCAAGGGGTTGATTTACTAACCTTATAAACACACCACGAACATGTATACACCTCTGTAGTGTGTTCCCTCCCAGCATGATCTATGGGTGGAATCTAAACACCTTTGTAGTGTGTACACACCCAGCAGGTGTGTTGTGCAAAGCCCTGCATGAATTTGCATGGTGATGTTGTGTAAATTAGCTCTATGTTGTGTTGCTTGCGTTGATGAATGCAGGAATGTAAATGCATGAGCTAACCATTTTTGTCTAAACTGTGAAGCAGCATTATATATGCATCATGTGCATGATTTTCCATATATGGCATTAGTGGAAATATGCTTTTAGAGACTTTTTGGTTGATAAATACGTTTTGCTGTGTGAAAATCACACGCACCTAGTGCGTGCGTGTGTTTAGGTTAGTAAATCACCCCCCAAAAGTCACAAAATGGTCACCCTGCACCAAGGACTTCAGAACTTTTGCCAAAATATAATGACTTGATTTGTACATCATGAGACAAGCAACTTAAAAAAAAAAAAAATCCGCTATCCCATAGATGACATTGAGGTTTGTAGCTTCATGCAGCTCTTTTTCAAGCATGAAGAAGTAAACTCTGTTTGAAAAGAGCTAAATAAAGCTCAAAATGTTACTATTGTCTACAGGATAGTGCAAATTGTTAAGCTGTTTGTCCCACAATGTACAAATGGAAGAGCTATCTTTTGTGCAATATTATAAAGTCCTTGGTGCAGGTTGACCTTTTTCTGAGTTTTGGGTACCTTATGTAAAATCTTTACTGAATTCTTTACTTTTAACTCCTTTAGGTACATGCAAAGTTTTCTTGAACTTTTAGAATATGAGAATAAGAGCCCAGAAGATCCTGATGTACTTTATAAGTAAGTAACTTCTGTTTCTAATGATCAATACTTTACTGCATTCTATCCTAACTTACTACAGGGCAGTCATTCATGTTTTGCCTTAGCACTGCTGCTATTATTTACAGGAACATGTTTTCCTATATTATGGGGCAGGACCATCAGTCATAGCACATGTACTGGTGTCAAAGTCGAGAACCATTTTCCAAAAACCAGGCTGAAGCATATTTAGATTGAAGCTTTGCGGGCTCAGGACAAGCCGGTATTGGTTCCATTTTGCTTTTTACTTCTAATAGCATTTAGATCTAAACTTAGCAGTTTTGTCTTTATGTAAATAACTATTGGCACAATGACAGAATTTTCCCACCTGCTTTATACAGCACAGCATTAAAAGCGGAATTCCAGCTTGTAGCATTTTGATTTCCAGCAGTACAAAACTTTTAGAAAAATCATATTGTAATTTATGTGTAATGTAAATGTGAAAAATATTACATACCATAAACCCATTTAGGGCCTGAGTGGATGGGCGTCTGTTTGCATCAAATAGGATTTGCATTTTAAGAAACTTCTATATGAATGCAAAACCAGCTTGATAAAGGTCAAGTGCAGGTCAGATGTAGGCCAGCTGCAGGAAGAGCATTCAAAATGAATACATTCTGAATGAACTCAAAAGCAAATCAAACTGTTGACATCAACACAAGGCCACAGCTCATTGACACAGACTGCATTATCCACATCTTGCTTCCCTCTGTGGTTGTTTAGAATAAGATACTCTAAAGCCTTACATGGCTTGCACATTAGTTGGTTACTGTCTTTGTCCTGTGACAGACCACAGCCCTGTGATTCATGCTATGTCTTTGAAGGGAAATAAGTTGAGAAGTAGGAGAGGTGTGTCTCAATTATGCTGCTCCATAATGCAAGTTATCAATCCACCCCCATGTAGGAAAACACAAAGGGGTTGATTTACTAGTACTATATGGATGATCATTGTATTCATTAAAGGAGAACTATGGGGAAATGCACTAATTCCCATAGTTGAGGCTGCTGTGTGACACTGCAGCTGTCACACATCGGCTCTATTGATCGAGAACTGAACGATCACATACCTGAACGGTCACATACTGCTGATCGCTCAGTTCCCAATCTTCTCCCTGCAGAGAGCAGTGACTGTCAGTCATCACCTCCCTGCAGGGTTTCACCCCTCCCCTCTTCGTTTCTCCGGCACTGACTAGAAGGACAGACCGGGGAGGGGGCGGGCACAGCTGGCTCTAGAGAGGCTGTCAATCAGGTAGCGGGGTGGATCCCAACAATATTGTTGGGATCTTTCCCAGCTGCAATAGTCCACTATGTGCTGAGCTTTGGGTCGTAGCAGAACATTAGTAGATGTCCTCCTGTGATCTAAAAGAGAACTAATGCCCAAAAATATTTGGCCATAGTTCTCTTTTAAAAACATCAAAACAAGTGCAAGGAGATAACATTTCTAGGAAAGATTCCTCTGCAAAGGCAGGTTCCTTGGATCAGTATGGCACACCCTGAATTTGTAAAGCATTATCTTTTGGCATCAGAATCTTGGCGTTGGGTCCTGTGACGTTTGAGTGCAGGGGATCCCAGCACAGGAAATGAGTGGAGAATTGTTATCGATGTTCCTTCCATAGGAGCCTTGTGGAGAAATGACTGAAATTTTGGTACTGGTACTTGATCTGTTCTGCACAATCGGAGCCATAGAAGGGATAGCTTGTTTAGGATGAGTGTTACTATCTAAGTTGGATTCCTGCAAGAATTTACACTTTGTCCTTTACCAACTTATCAAGAAGCTGAAAGAGGGTTGGATATACAGATAAAGTGTAAAATATTTTTAATGTATAGAAAATTAATTGATAAGTTATAAGTGGTATTAAAACAACTTGTTCCTTTAGTAAACTAAAATAACTAGATAGTAGTAACATTATTGGAGATTGTAATATTGTAAAGTTCATACTTGAAAAATAATACATTTATTTTTAAATTAATTTAAATGAATTAATCAGATTGTTCTGCTTTCACATTTTTTAGCTTTTTAAACGTCCTCATCCAAGTGAGGAACCGACACAATGACGTGGTCCCCACCATGGCCCAGGGAGTGATTGAATACAAAGAGAAGTACGGTTTTGATCCATTTGTCAGTAGCAATATCCAGTACTTCCTGGATAGATTCTACACAAGCAGAATTTCTTTCCGTATGCTCATTAATCAGCACAGTAAGTAGCTTGTTTGTGCTTAACAACACAACATATTAGGTTCACCTCACCACACTCCAGCTGTTGCTGATAAACGTCTTCCATTTGTGTCAGCTACTTTTCATGTGCAGCACATTTTGTACAGACTTAATGTTTGACTTGTTCCCTGGTAACAATAATTGGCAAACCCTGTGAATGTACCTATTTAAACACCTCTAACAGATATGGTAGTCCCCAGATTGTAAATGCTAATGATAACTCCTAACTGCTTGTCTTTTATTTTTTTACTGGTAGATATATTTTGAAAAACATAGCCCTAGCTTTTTAAAGGACAAGTTCACCCCCTGAGTGCCGGTGCCATATTAAAGAAGTACTAAACTCTCAAACTTGTTTTTTCAATAATGAATCCAGATCAACAAATATACCGTACATTGCCAAGCTAAGTGTTTTTTTACAAGTACTTACAGTCGTCATGTTTCTAAAGAGCTGACTCTAATTCACTCAGCTTGGCTTCCCTAAACTTTCTATTCAGTACTAGATAACATGGGGAATCACAGTCTCCAGCAGCTCTCCATCTACTAGCATGTAGAAGGGATCAGGGAGGAAGGAGGAGCAGGGAGAAGGGAAGTTGCTTGCCTTACTGTCTGTTTGTGGAGACATACACTGCTTACTAGCACACACAAGGGTGGCTTCATAGGACCCTGCAGGGGAAAGGAGCCACCCTAGAACAGAATATCAGGACCAGCGCTCAAGGGACCAGCTGATTCTGCAGAAAACTAAAACTTTTATACATCAAGAAGCAGCATCCATTGTAAGTTATTTAATCAGCACTTCAAATAGCCTAAAAACCTTTTGACTTTAATATCCATGGCTGGAATAAGGTTCACGCATAGGAGTGAATAGTGCGGCACTAGTGTGGGGATGATTTCAGGAGAAAGGTTGTACGGCGCTGGGCAGGGCCAGACCATTAAGATCACTGAGATAGGGAGGAAAGTAAGTATTTAACTTTGTACTTATGGGGTGCACTTCTGGGGGCACAAGTGCCACAGGCTGTGATCTATAAGACCAGTGGAAAAAAATTATTTAGTGCTTAACAATTTGCTGAATTCAGAATTTGGTTCATATTTGTCTGATAGTGGTCAGTAGAAATTTAGAAATCAATTGCTGATCTGCGGAATAATTTGCTGGAGTTGGTATGGGAATCGAGGTTGTATTGCCTTGCTGCTCTGTGCCAGGTTGAACAGGTAAAGGAGTCCACTGAATCCTCCCTTCCCAATTCACTCAACTACAAATAGTATTAAAAAGTCTGGCACAAATAAAGTTTTGAAAAAAATATATTTCTCCGTCCCGGCTTCCATGCGCGTTCCGGAAGCATGCGTGAAGTCACTGTGCCTCACAGCTGCCTCCCGTACAGTTGGGCTTTCCAGATCCTGCAAGAATGGTCTCCAGCACATTGCAGCAACTTAGTGCACATTCCTATCAGCACCCTTTTCATTGTCTTGGCTTGCCTGCTTGGTAATCAGCTTGTGCAAAGTGCAGTTTGATCTTCTTTCATGGAAGATCTCTCTTTCCAGAGTGAGCAATTGACTTATGTTGCTGGATAGAAAAAGGACAATCTGAGGGCTTCCGATTACAATATACATAGGAAATGAATCTCATATTTCCATACAACTTAACTGCATAACTGCATGTTTGTTACAAAGTTGTAGTTTGGCCATTATAGGATTATTTGAAAAAAGCTGAAATTTCCCTTTAAGAATAACTCCTAAATGAATGATTAATGCTATGAGAGTTTGGTAAATTTCCAGTGGTTAAACTGCAGCTTGTACTAAGTTAACATTAAAACCACTATCTATAATTAATATCTCATTTCTGCCTCATTACTGGTGCTACTGTTTGGTACACATGCCGTTTGTATGTTTCTATGTAGAGTGTATTGTGGAGTTGACCTCAGACTACATTGACAGAGCCTACTTTCAAGTTTGACCTTTCCATCACTTTAAACACTCAGATATCTGTTCTGCACCTTGGCAGGGGAACAGGGAGAGTTCTAACACACTGTATGATGCGCAGACTAGAGGACTGGGCTGATTTATTAGTTCTGTATTGGGATGTTGCAGTCTTTGGGGCGAGGCCCTTCACCCCACAGCATATCCCAGACACATGACATATAATCATTTAAATGGTCAAAGAAGATTTCACATTATAAATTATTATTTTACTTATTGTAAGGTGTGATTGATGTATAACCTTATGCGTTCATATTACAGCTCTTCTGTTTGGAGGGGACATTAATCCGGCCCATCCCAAGCATATAGGCAGCATTGATCCTTCCTGCAATGTACCAGAAGTAGTAAAAGGTATGACATGTACAAATGCCTTGGGGTGATTTATAAAAACTGTAGCAAATTATTAATTCAAAATTCAACTTTTTTCATCTAATGTTGAAATCTGAAATGTAATTGGTTGTTATGGATTACTGCAGTTTGCACTTTAGCTTTGCACCTTGCACTGTGTTACTGAATATGCCAGTTTGTGAGTACTTCATCAAACACTAAGAAAAATATTTCTGGCTTCATATTTGTGTCAGCATAGCAGCATGTTCCTCACTGCCATTAGAGGTCCCCAAGTACTCATGTAGTTCTCTTCTATAGACTATTACACAGTTTGGCTTCTGTTTTTCTGCAATATTGGTGTGACCATGCAGTGCATCTTTGCCTATTGACAGTCACGTGAAATTCACATGAGAAATATATTGCATATGGCCACCTTTATGCCTGGTTCTTGCATAAATTCTACTGTGATGGCCTTAGTTGTACATTGTCATGAATTGCAGAATGGTAAAAAATGTTAAAGGGTATGCGGTAGAAATAAAACTTTTCTAGCTTCGTATTGCCAGTACTGGCCCTGTCTTGCTAATACTTATATTTGCTTGAGGGGCTACATTAGACACAGAGATAAAAGTATGCCCATTTTCTTCCATGACATTTGCCTAGTCAGGCTGCTGTACTTTCATTTAAAATCTTTTTCTATGTGTTTGTGCAGTTGAGGAAAAAACTAGTTACCACTGGGTGGTGATGCTTAAAGTGTTTCTTCAGCCAAAACGTTTGGCCCTCTGACACATTTCACCCTTACAAGCTTAATCATAGAGCCTATGACTAAGCCTGTAAGGATTAAACGCGTCAGTAAGAGGCCGATCGTGGACGGGACATGTAGAGCCTGAATAAAGTATATTTCACGTAAGTGACATAATTGGTTTGTGGCTGTCTGACCACTGGGTTGGCTGGATCAATAACTTTTATTTGTTGTCTACAGATGTTACAAATAAAAGAGAAAATTCCCTATTTTTTTAGGCTCCTCAGTGTAAAAAGGGGAAAACTTGAACACCTCTTACACTGGGGTCCAAAAACATGAAATCTGGGGGTTATAAAACCCTAATTTTTATTTTATTTAAGGTGACTGATCTGGTTTAAACAGTGCTGAAGTTCAGGAACCTTGTGGTTCTTGTTTCAATGAATCCCTGTGTCTGTGTGGAGTCCCTGCAGGCTAGGCCAATGGTGTATATGGGGCCCCAACCTTTGGCCAAGTTGAAAATAAACCCTGCTCCCTCCCAAAGCTACATATCACCCTTGTCATTTAACTGTCAATTGCCAGGGCTTTTTTTGCCTGCTGCAAGTCCTTGAAGGCACCTGAAAGGGGTCCTTAGAAACATTTTAAGCCAGCACAGGTTCCCCTTAAGGGAGGTATTTCAATTTGGGATTTATTGTCCCCCAAATTGCCCTTTAAAGTTCACAGTACATACAGTTAGACTATTATTGTTCTAAGTGATCTTGATCCAGCTGGCTTAACCAAAATAGTTTTCTGGCAGATATAGGGATCACACATTCTGCATTATTTTACCAGTTAACTGACTGTCAATAAACAAACAGACCACCAAAAATGTTTCTTCCAGTTTTAGGTAGATGCACAGCAAGAGTGATAACCACCTAGCCACTTTGCTGCCCATTAAAGCTTTACTTTGTTATGCTGCATTTTTAATATATCAATGACAGCTAAATATTCTTTCAACAGATGCCTACGAGACTGCAAAGATGCTGTGTGAGCAATACTACTTGTCTGCACCTGAGCTGAAAATAGAAGAATTCAATGGTGAATTGTTTTTTCTATGTTCTAAAATCCAAACAATCAGTGTAAATAGTAATAGCATTCTCTGTTTTTAAAAATGGTATTATCTATTTCATTTAAAAGTTTCAAATCAACTGTAAACGGTATCTTACCAGTTTTTCCTGAAGTCTCTTTGCTGTGCTTAAATATAGTGGTTGTCAGAGAGATATCTTAGCGACTACTGGAAAATACCCTAGACACAGAGACACAGCTGTATACACAGAGTGGCCAGATCACTGAGACTGGAAATAATCTTTCAAGAGACAAACCAGGAGAACAGGATTCATGAGTGATATGTCAATCCACACCTTTAAACCTCAACAATTTCTTTTCAGTAAATTTTTATTTAAATTTCAAAGCAAGAGAAATGCAGTAATACAAACCAGTAATAACAAAAGAGAATCAAATATGAAGTAATACAAACCTGGAGTAACAAATGAGAACCAAGTATGCAGTAATACAAACCAGTAATAACAAAAGAGAATCAAATATGAAGTAATACAAACCTGGAGAAAAAAAGGAGAACCAATTATGCAGTAATACAAACCTAGAGTAACAAAAGGGAAACAGTTATGCAGTAATACCAACCTGAAGTAGCAAAAGAGAACCAAGCATGCAGTAATACAAACCTGGAGTTACAAAAGAGAACCAAGCATGCAGTAATACCAACCTGGGGTTACACAAGAAAACCAAGTATGCAGTAATACAAACCTGGACTAACAAAAGAGAACCAAGTATGCAGTAATACAAACCTGGAGTAACAAAAGAGAACCAAGTATGCAGTAATACAAACCTGGAGTAACAAAAGAGAACCAAGTATGCAGTAATACAAACCTGGAGTAGCAAAAGAGAACCAAGCATGCAGTAATACAAACCTGGAGTAACAAAAGAGAACCAAGCATGCAGTAATACCAACCTGGGGTTACACAAGAAAACCAAGTATGCAGTAATACAAACCTGGACTAACAAAAGAGAACCAAGTATGCAGTAATACAAACCTGGACTAACAAAAGAGAACCAAGTATGCAGTAATACAAACCTGGACTAACAAAAGAGAACCAAGTATGCAGTAATACAAACCTGGACTAACAAAAGAGAACCAAGTATGCAGTAATACAAACCTGGACTAACAAAAGAGAACCAAGTATGCAGTAATACAAACCTGGAGTAACAAAAGAGAACCAAGTATGCAGTAATACAAACCTGGAGTAGCAAAAGAGAACCAAGCATGCAGTAATACAAACCTGGAGTAACAAAAGAGAACCAAGCATGCAGTAATACAAACCTGGACTAACAAAAGAGAACCCTCCGGGGACCCTGGCGGGATGGGCTTGTGCGGGTACCGTAAATGGAACTGTCGTAGCAGTCGGGGTGCGTGCACATTTCGTGCTTCCTCCCAAGAGTCATCCTGAACCCCGTACCCTTTCCATCTGATGAGGTATTGGAGTTTGTTTCGGTATCTACGTGCGTCCAGAATGGCCCCTACCTCGAATTCCACCTGACCCTCAACATCGATCGGAGGTAGTTTTGCTGGTACCCGGTCCCTGAAGGTATTGGGACGATGGGGTTTAAGGAGGGAAACATGGAAGACAGGATGGATGCGCATAGTAGGAGGTAGCTTCAAGCGCACCGTTACCTGATTGATAACTGTCTCTATGGGGTATGGCCCCATGAATAGCCGACTGAGCTTCCTCGATGGTGTTGCCAATTTCAGGTGTCTGGTGGACAACCACACCAAATCCCCCACTTGATAGGAAGGGGGGTTACGTTTTCTAAGATCATAGAAGTGCTTTTGCCTCTCCTGGGCCAGCTTGAGGTTGTCTTTTATCAGGACATGGTTCTTGGTGAGCTGCGTTAGGAATTCATCGGTACAGGGAGAGTTAGTTGGTAACACAGAAGAGGGTAGAAGGTTGGGGTGGAACCCGTAATTGGCATAGAAAGGGGACATTTGTGTAGAGGAACTCGCTGCGTTGTTGAACGCGAATTCCGCCAAAGGCAATAGGTCTATCCAATCGTCCTGTAGGAACGTGCAATGGCAACGCAGGTACTGTTCTAGGCACTGATTAACTCTCTCGGTTTGTCCGTTTGTCTGCGGATGGTATGCGCTGGACAATCGGTGGTTGATATTCAATCGGTTACATAAAGCTCTCCAAAATTTTGATACAAATTGGGTTCCACGATCCAAGATGAGCCGAGTTGGAACTCCATGTAAACGCACAACGTGGTTCACGAAGGCTTTTGCAGTCTCTTGGGCGTTGGGTAGCTTTAGTAGCAGAATGAAATGTGCCATCTTCGAGAACATGTCGACAACGACTAAGATGGTGTTATGATTCCTGGACGTGGGTAGTTCTACGATAAAATCGAGAGAGACGACCTCCCATGGTCTGTTGGGTATCGGGGTGTTCATCAGTAGGCCGTAGGGCCGACCTTTGTCATGTTTACAGGTAGCACATATTTCGCATGTGGACACAAACTCCTTTATTGTTTTTGTCATTTGTGGCCACCAGAAGTATCTTTTGGTTAACTCAATGGTTTTGGTCATACCTGGGTGTCCCGCGAGGGGGGTCTCATGCATCAACCGAAGGATGGGAACCTGCATCGCGGGAGGGATGAACAATCTTGCGTCGTTGTACAGGAATCCTTCTTGGTCCTTAACAAATGGTATAGGAGGTACACTATCGGGAAGCGATAGTGCGTTTTGAAGTTCGTCTTTGAGGTTCACTGTGGCTACAAGAATCTTCTCCCTAGGAATGAGCGGTTGAGGAAGTATAGGAGGCGAATGTTGCTCCCCGATCCAGGAGAGGGAATCCGCCTTCCCATTTTTTAGATCCTGGGCGGTAAGTGATTACATAATTAAAACGGTTGAAGAGGAAGCTCCATCGTACCTGACGGGACGAGAGGATTCGGTTGGTTTTCAAATACTGGAGGTTTTGGTGGTCCGTGAAAATAGTGATGGGGTTGGTGTACCTTCGAGAAGGTGGTGCCAATGTTCAAGGACACACTTGATGGCCAACAGTTCTTTTTCTCCCACAGGATAGTTTATTTCTGCAGCGTTTAAGGTGCGGGAGAAGAAGGCAACCGGATGGAGAGGTTGGAGCAGAGACTCCCTTTGTGACAGAATGGCCCCGACCGCGGTGTTGGAGGCATCCACTTCCAGAACGTAAGGTAGAGCGGAATCTGGGAGACGTAGTATGGGTGCGGAGGTAAAACGTCCCTTTAGGTCATCGAAAGCTCTCTGAGCTTCCGGGGACCACGCAAACCTCATCTTGGTACTGGTCAACTGGGTTAGGGGTTTGACCACTGCAGAAAAGTTTTTGACGAATTTGCGGTAGAAATTTGCGAATCCTAGAAACTTCTGTAGTGCCTTCCTACTGCGAGGTGTAGGCCAGTTGAGTATGCATTCGACCTTGGAAGTGTCCATTTCGATGCCTGTGGGAGAAATGACAAACCCGAGGAAGGGAATGGTGTCCTTCTCGAAGTAGCATTTTTCCAGTTTGGCATACAACTTATGTGCTCTAAGCCTTGCCAACACCCAACGCACATGTTTACGATGGTCATTAAGGTTCGTGGAGTACACTAAAATGTCGTCTAGATACACAATTACGCATACTTCCAACAAGTCCCGGAATATGTCGTTGACAAACCCTTGGAAGGTGGCAGGAGCATTGGACAACCCGAAAGGCATCACATTGTATTCAAACAACCCGTACCGTGTACGGTATGCTGTCTTCCACTCGTCACCTGGTTTTATGCGTATGAGGTTATACGCCCCCTTAAGGTCGAGTTTGGTGAACAGGGTAGCGTTTTGGAGTCTTTCGATGAGTTCTGTAATCAAAGGCAGCGGGTACCTGTTTTTACAGGTGATTTTGTTTAGATCACGGTAATCAATAATAGGCCGAAAGCTTTGGTCCTTGTTTCTGACAAAGAACATTCCTGCCCCGGCTGGGGACGTGGACGCAGAGATGAACCCCTTTTTGAGATTTTCCTCTAGATGCTCCTTGAGGTGTTGTAACTCCGGCCCCGATAAGGGGTATACCCTACCTACAGGTATGACACTACCCGGTAGCAAGTCAATAGGACAGTCATATGGCCTATGGGGAGGTAGGGAATCCGCCTTTTTCTTGCAGAATACGTCAGCAAAGTCTGCGTACGGGGTTGGGATCATCCCCGAACTCAGCTGAAAAACAGGAGTGATGGGATAACATGACTGCTTACAGTAAGTGGACTCGAGTAGGGGGGTGTTCTTTACCCAGTCGAAGGTAGGCTGATGTTGTTTCAACCATGGTAACCCCAAAATAATGGAAAAAAGAGGTGAGGGGATGACATTGAAAGATAGATGCTCAATGTGATTGTGGGGGGACACCACAAGGATAGGCGAGGTTTCTATAGCTATAGGGCCTGATGCCAGTGAGGTACCATCAATAACACTGACAGAGAGAGGCGTAGATTTCTTTTGCAAAGGAATTTTATTGAGGTTAACCAGTTTAGCATCAATAAAGTTTCCACACGCTCCCGAGTCAACCATGGCTTCAACGGAAATGCGTTGCTGATCCCACTGCAAAGTTAAAAGAAGAGTTAGATATCGGTTTGAAGGGAGGTTGTCTGGATTCAACTTACATAGGTAGGTCTTCTTACCCTCGTTCTTCTTTCTGACGCTTGGGCAGTCGTTGACCCCATGCTCGGGGGCTGCGCAATACATGCAGAGGTTTCCGGCACGTCTGTGGTTCTTCTCGACCTGGGTAAGGGGCCCTTTAAGTGCACCTATCTCCATAGGTTCCTCTCTCCTAGGCGGTCTCGGGAGAGGGCTGGGGTATCCACTCCCTCATTCCGCCCTGCGCTCTCGGATACGCCGGTCGATAGCCACGGCTCTGTGGATGAGTGCGTCTAGCGTAACAGGTAGGTCTGCACGTGCGAGTTCATCCTTCAGCATTTCGGACAGGCCCAGTCGAAACTGATTTTGTAGGCTTAGCTCATTCCATTGAGTCTCTCTAGCCCATCTTTGGAACTCTGCGATGTAGTCCTCGACGGGTCGTTTTCCCTGTTTCAGACTACGGATGGCGGACTCGGCTGTGAGCTGTTTACAGGGATCTTCATAGAGGAGATCCATGGCCTGGATGAACTCAGGGTAGGAGTCGAGTACCGGATCCTCGTTCTCGATAAAGGTGTTAGCCCAGGCTCTAGGTTCACCGCATAGATATGATATGAGGGTCCTTACTTTGATATGATCATTTACGTAAGTCCTTGGTTTTAGATCGAACATGAGATTGCAAGCATTGATGAAATCCCGGTAATGTCGTCTATTGCCAGAGAATGCATCTGGGGGGCTGACCTTAGGCTCTGGGCCCTCCCTTGGAGCCTCAGCTGCGTCGCGGTGTTTCGCGAGGCGGCCTCTAAGGTCTCGATTTTCAGCCCTTAGTTCGGTCACGTTTGCGGTGAGCGCCTCGATGCGTTGCGTAAGGGTAACGAGGTGCGCAGCAAGCTCCGCTGGATCCATGTCCCTGCTTGAGGGGGTTCTAGCAAACTGTAACGATTCCTGCAAGCTCGATTGTGTATGTAGGATCCCAGCTGCGGAGGTAAGTGGAAATGGTTCAGGTGGGAGGTTCACGGTCACCCTTTAACTCAGTGGGTGAAGTCGGAACCCCTTACACATCATACACCATTTATTCTGGGAGTAGTTAACTGGATATGTTTTGTATATGCACGCCCTCAATTGTACAGCATTGGGGCCGTGTTGGGAGTTGTAGTTTGATTCCTCAGTTGCTTCACTAGGAGGCCGAACTTTTAGGTCACACTAATATGGGTGAGGAAAGTAACAGTCCAGGGTATATGGTGCAGTAGGGTTGAGGAGAGAGCTAGTTAACTTCACTAAGCCCAGTATAAGTATCATGCAGGTGACAACATCTATATGGCTATGCAGCAATATTGGAACTGATATCAAGCACCAGAGAAGACGTGATATGAGGTTCCCCACAAGGTGGCAGCACCAACACTTCCCCTGTATACAGTATGCCTAAGGAATACTTGCTGTTTAAGTTGGAAAGTCCAGTCAGAGGAAGTGCAGCTGTTCCTTGTTGCTGGAGTATTCCTGGGTGGTGGATCGATGGGCTCCAGAGGTCCAGTGCACAGGGTCCAGTGGATGGTCACAGGGGTTTCTGCTCTAGATGCGGGAGTCCTAAATAGCTTGCTCGACATACTATTTTGCTAGAACGTCAAGCAAGTGTTCAGCCTAGATTTAAATAGGCAGAGGCAATTGTTGGGGGCTGAGCTGGAGACGAGGCCCGACTCGAGCGTCTCCTAGCAACGGGACGCCGCCGGGCCTCGTCCGTCGCGTCATCACGCTGACTGGATGGAGGAGAGGTGGAGAGCTGAGGAACGGCCGCCCGTCGCCTAGCAACGAGACGCCGATGACGGGGCCGTCCCCGCGCTGGTCTCAGATCCCGGAACAGCCTGCGTTCCTGACACCCAATTAACTTGTAGAAAATGAAACGAACGTTCTGAAAAAAAATTTTGTGGAAGGAAAATCTACTGGTGTATGATTAAATGTACTGCTTGCTTCTCCTCTGCCCTGGACCTTCCAGGAGGCTAATATCAACACAGATTTTAGATTGTAAGCCCTCACGGGCAGGGACCTCCTTACCATCTTGTCTTGAATTGTATTGTGATTGTAATGTCTTCCTTATGTTGTAAAGCGCTGCGCAAACTGTTGGCGCTATATAAATCCTGTATAATAATAATAATAATTCAAGTACTAGTGGTAGTGCTATGTAATATTCTTGCATTGTATAGGTATAAGGAATACAACCTCAAAGTTGGACGCTGTATAAAATCTACATAAAAACAGAATGCAAAGATGTGCAAATCTCATAAACCCAAATTTTATTCACAATAGAAAACATATAAAATGTTTAAACTGAGAAAATGTCCCATTTTAAGAAACAAATAAGGTAATTTTGAAATTGATGGCAAAATTGGGACACGGAAACAAAAAGCTGGCAAAAGTAAGTGGTACTAACAAGGGGGAGCTAGAAGAACTTTTGCAATTAATTAGGTTAATTGGCAAAAGGTCAGTAACATGATTGGGTAGACAAAGAGCATAGTAGAGAGTCAGAGTATTTTTTTTAAATGTGTTGCTGCCATCAATTTCAAAATTACCTTATTTGTTTCTTAAAATGGGACATTTTCTCAGTTCAAACATTTTATATGGTTTCTATTGTGAATAAAAAATGAGATTTGAAATGGGGGTTGTAAAAGATAGAAAGTTGGCATTTAAACATTGTACCATATGCATTGTGATGTAGATGGTCATAAAACTAAATGGTGTACACACTCACTAAGAATTCATGTGCACAATGTATTTTTAGTTTGTCACGTCAGAATGCTCATAGGCCTCATATATGTATTTTCATGTTTTACAGCTAAGGCTCCAGGCAAACCTCTGCAGGTGGTCTATGTGCCATCTCACTTATTTCACATGCTGTTTGAATTATTTAAGGTAGGTACACAGCAATGCGTAGTTTTAAGGATTCTAGTTTTGTGGTAACTCCAGTTATATTTTTTTTACAAAAAGCCTATATATATATATATTACAAATAGTAATTCAGTCATTTAAGTGAAACTTATCACTGTGAGAAAGTATAGCTTCCTACCATTGATTTTTATATTGTTTTATAGCCCTTTTATTTTTTGTTCCATAAAACCAGAGAAGACGGTATATGTTTCACTGTAGCAGCAGCAGTGTGGGCTACTGTCCAGATGGGCATAAGATTAAAAAGTGTTTTAAACCCTCTCCTGGCTTTGCGTGTTTCTGAAAACAATTAGGTCAGTAATTGGGGAAAAAAAAGCTTTTTTGTAAATGTATCTAGTGCTCACAAACAATATGATGCGATACAAGTGTAATGAACAAACTGCATTGCAGAAAAAGAGCATTTGGAAGATCGGTGTCATGACAGGGGCATGTTTTTAAGGTGGCCAATGATCAGTTTCCCAGTTAAATGCTAATTGGGTGTTTTGCCATAGTTTTAATGCACATTCGCCACCTGCATGTTTTTTAAGGATTAGGTCCCATTCGCCACACATTTGTTTTTCTAGTTCTCTAATGGCAAATTCAGTTCTCAGAAAAAGAGCGTTAGTGTTGCCATGCCCAAATATAGTTTTTAGCATTAAAGCATTAAAATTCCATGAAACAGCACTGACCTTAGATTTATTCTATAAATAAAGCAAATTTGCAAGGTGAATTATATAAAGCAGCTAGCAAATCCAGGCTTAAAAAATGTGCCCTGAGTTTCCGTTTTTATAACTATGCCTTAAAGTGTTGGTAAATTGTATTACTATTTTTAAAGAAGGGTGTTTTAAGTTTTTAAGGGTGAGTTAAACTTAAAAGCTGCTTCTTGACTTTCTTTGTTCCTATGTAGCACATGACCTACAGTCAGAGACTGAGAAATGTAGTATAAGCTTATGCCTGCAGCATCACCTGCAGATGAAACCTGGTACTGCAGCCCAGCTATTAAAGGATAACTTTCACTCACCTCATAGTTCTAGCCGACCTGTGACAATGAGACTGTCACAGGTCGGCTCAGTAGATCGGGTGGTGAGCGAACATATACCGGCGTTCGCTCACTTCTCGATCCTATCACGGCTCTCTGCCGTGACAGGGGAGGGGCTGGATTCCCCCCTCCCCACTCCGATCTGCCAGCGCTGACTGGCGGAACGGACGGGGGAGGGGGCGGGTACAGCTGGCTCTGCCTCTAGATAGGCAGAGCCAGTTGTCACTCACGCAGCTGGGCGGATCTCGACATGGATGTCGGGATCCGCTCCGGCTGCGGCGTCTCAGTATAGCTACAGCTCGCGGTATACTGAGCTTAGGGTAACGGGAGGACGCTAGTTTGTGTCCTCCCGTTACCCTAAGGAGAACTATGGGGAAAAGCCCTGACCCCATAGATCTCCTTTAAGGGGCTTGTCTGTATACTTTGATGCGGATAGAGCACATACAGCTCTGGTGAATGCCCGGTGCATTTTCATCTCCTCCATTATGGTGGCATTGCATGCATATTTCCACAACAGAGCTGTCTGTGACAACATAAAGGCTTTAGTGGAGGATCAAGGATTGGGATGCACATGCTGTGAGTTATGAGTGCCAGTAGAGAGCAACAAAGCAAGTACTAAGGGCATGCAGTACAAGCAGAGGGGATACCTTATTGCATTGGATTTACATGTGCACATTGTCATACTTTCTTATTCAGGTTCAAATAATAAATACATACTGCACATAGATATTCTATCTATCTATTCTTTTTTAATTTTTTTCTATCTGAAAATATTATACAGACATATACTTTATATTTAATTATTACACATATTGCAAATATATACCAATACATAACAAGTGAGCGCATAGGTATAACTGAGCTAGTGAGAGTAGAACTTCAAGAGCTACCGTTGCTGGTTTATTTTTAAAGAATAGGTGCACTCATCTCTTTTCCTCTTTTACCTTCACCTAATCTAACCCACACTCTCCCTACATACTTGCCTCGATCTGAAGGACACGGTGTCTAATGCTTGGTTACATTGAGTGCTACAAGTCTCGACGTCCTGGCCACTCCTGGGCATTACAGCCCTATAGACTTCTGTGGGGCTGCGTCCCAAGGCTGGAGACAAAGGGGATGTATGTATGGGGTTGTAATGCACAGGCATGGCCAAGATGTGAACACATACTGGAGGCCACAGCTGTTGAATCCAGGTAAGTATGCATCTTTGGGGAGGGAGGGTGAGTTTGGTTAGGTCAGGTTAAAGAGACAAAAGAGATGAATGCACTTTGTTCTTCAAGTACACTTACAACGTACTTATAAAAGTAAGTGAGCATAGTCTTTCGCATATACTACATATACTGTAGATGGTACAGCAGCCCATAACCATAATAAAAATCTGTCCCCCGCCATCATGCAACATTTTTATAAGTTTTAGAGAAGAGTTAGGACCCCAGTCATGTTTTACTTGTTGTGCAGGGGATATTCAAAAATGTTACAGTTGTAATGGGAACAGGAGGGTAGGGATACAGGTCCTACACATTAATGGCCAGACACTTGACTTGAACAAGATGCTCTTACATGAATGTACTGCTTCCTCTGTCCATGGTTGTTTAGTTTTAGATCTAGTTTAGCTGGTAATATAATAGACACAGGAAATTATGAATCACCATCACATTTGTTTTTTGTTGCATATCCAGCACACAGAATACATTACCTAACCCGCATCTCCTGTGATTTTACAGTAAACTCTACACTAGCAAATTTCTGTTTTTGTGGTAAAAAAGCAAGCCATCATTTAATTCCTCCTTGCTGAGGTCACTTCCCAGACATGGACAGAAGGGTAATAAAAAGTTAAGCCAAGGCTCCTGAGAAAATATGACCAAGGGAAATACTTATTTTATTATGCCAAGAAAAAAATAAATGTAATACTAATAATGGCACATCTGTTAGAGGGAGCTGCAAAGAATTGTGGTCCAGCAAAACTAGTTAATTTTAAGCCATGACATTTTCCACTCTGAATCAAATTAATAATAGCGTGCATTGGAATCCAGTTAAGGATAGAATGCCTTGCCATAATTGTTCAGAATTAGAGGTATCACTATCCTGATCTTGGCTACAGTTCAACCTGGTTACAGAGCAATTTACTGCTATAATAAGGGATAACGCTACTTGGGTGGTGTGAAGCAGCAAGCATTTCATTTCATAAGAAAAGATTGGCAGCTTCCACAAAGATATATTGTGGTGCCTTCTTATATGTAGTCCTTGAACAACCATTTTATTAATAATTGGGCATTTAAAAAGCTACTTTATTCTAATGTTAAGCTTAATACCTCATTATTTTACTTTTATAATTAGTAATCACAGGCATTGAAAGTAGTAATTTTGACTCAAAGTCGTCTTAAGTCTTCTTGTTTCATGGTGCTTCAATTATTCTGGTGCCAAAAAAGCACATAGGAACAGTATTTCGTGACTGGCCCAAAGCAGTAAATACCTCAGACTGCTGATACCTATACAGCGATCAGTTTACTGAGCCCCATCCAGATGTTCTAACATTAAAATAATTGTTTTTGCACACCTCCTAGAGAGAAAATATGGGTATAAAACATTAGGGCCCAAGTCCAGCTTGTAGTCCCCAGCAACTCCTAAAAATAAAAACATATCTCTGGCTGCAATACTCACCTCCTCTCAGACTCACTAAGGGATCACGTGCCAGTCTTCTTCTGGGATGCTCAACATCATTCCAACCACATCCTGTGGGCCCAGGGCGCTGGGTCCAAAGGCACATCTCCTAGACAAAAAAATATGAGAGTTATTCACAAAGCTAGCTGAAGGATCAGCCGTGGCTCATCCTTCGGCCACTGGAGCCCTTCGGTTCAGTAGAACTGAAGGGCTGCTGTACAGGCTATTCACTATAGCCCGTACAGCTCCAGAAGCTGGCCGAGCAGCTCAGCCGAGTGGAAAACACATGCTTCGGCTCGACTGAAGCGGGGAGAACAATCGGCCATTGGCCGGCCAAAAGCCTCGCAACTGAGAGCTGGGCGGAGCCAGCCGTGATCTCACCGCTGGCTCCGCCCAGTTTCAATGACAGATCAGCGCCCCCAGGTTACCTGGGGACGCTGAACTGACATTAAACAATGACAACTGGGCGGAGCCGGCCGTGACCTCACGGCCGGCTTCGCCCAGTTGTTATTCATTGGCCGGGACCTGCTAGAAGACCCTATCAGGTCCTGGCCAATAGGAAACAGTTGGGCGGAGCTAGCTGTCACTGCTAGGTCACACTCGGCTGCCTTCTGCAGCTTTGTGAAAAACCCTGTATGAGGGTTCTTCACAAAGCTAGCCGAAGGATCAGCCGTAACCGAAGGAGCAGCTGTAGTAGTAGAACCGAAGGGCTGCTGTATGGGCTATTCACTGAGCCGAAGCGGGCCGAAAAGCCTTGCAACTGACATTTTTTTTCTACTTTTTTTTAAATACTTTTTTCACTGATTTTCTATTCTGCTCGGCGGCATTCCGCTATTCACTCACTGTCGTTCCGCCCCTGTGAGAATAGGCCGAACGGCAGCAAGTAGCCTGCCGGAGGTTTAGCTCAGCCGATCCAGATGTTGGATCTGCTGAGTCGAACGTGTTCTTCACTTCGGCTCAGTCGAGCATGCTGAGCTGTTCGGCTGAACCGAAGCCAGCTGATGTATGGCTGTTTTTAGCCAATGTACGACTGAAATCAGCTGTACAAGCCCGAAAGTGGTGAACCAAACAGCGTTCGGCTCACTTCACTTTGGGCGGGTTAATCTCTCGGCTGCCTTTGGCAGCTTTGTGAATAACCCTCTATGTCTTCAAAACATTAAAGCCCAAGTCTAGCCTGTAGTCCCCAGCAGCTCTTAAAAATAAAAAAACAGCACTGGAAGCAATACTCACCTCCTCTCTGGTGCTGTCCCCCACAGTCTAAAGGGTCTATTCACAAAGCTGACGAAGGATCTAGCCGTAGCTTCGGCCGATCCTTCGGCTAGCTTCGGTTACGTGAGTCCATCGGTTAATTCGAACCGAGAGCCGGCTGTACGGGCTATTCACAATAGCCCGTACAGCTCCCGATCATGGCCGAGCGGCTCAGCCGAGCCGAACGCATATGCATCGGCTCGGCTGAGCCGTGCTGAAAGCCGAAGCACCTCGGCAGCTTCGTGAATAGACCCCTAAGTGTAAGGCAGTTATACTGAGCTGTCCTTACAGTAGTCTAAGAATACGATCCTCTGTTCTCTGATGTACTCCAAGAAAAGGATTTTAGGGGTCAGACAAAAAAAATGCTGTTAATCATCCAAAATGGTCAAAATGCCTGCACAGATTGATCTTTTCTGTCTCTGTATGGGTAAATCTAAGCATATGCAGAATATTTTATTTGTACATGTATTTAACATACTCTAAAGTGTCTACTTACAAAAGTTTACAAAAGTTTTTGTACTTGTTTTCACACAGAGCTTTAATCCAGGATTTATATTTTCCAGTTGAACTCAATAGAACAATGTGTGAGTCTTGGGTGAACATTCTGTGAATCTTTGCTGACAATATTTATAAACAGATCCCATATATTTATAATGCATATTGCACTTAAATGTGTCTAACCTTTTCTACTATTTATCACTGTATGAACCAATAATATGAGTGGTATAGAAAATGTTTAATCTCTTACATTTGATTCCTATAGAATTCAATGAGAGCAATAGTAGAGCAGCATGAAGACAAGCCAGAAGCCCTGCCACCTATAAAGACCCTGGTCACACTTGGAAAGGAAGATCTTTCAATAAAGGTGCATTCCTATCTAGACGGAAACATTTTTAATACAATTGTATGCATTATAAATTAAAGTGTAAGTCCAGACAAAAACTCTTTTTTGGATAGAGTAGGGAAGAATCAGAACCCTTGTAGCATGTTTTACTGTTGTCCAGGGCTCCGTTAAATAGATTTGCCCTCTCTTACTGTCTCGGTGACAATGCTTTCACAGGTAATGAGAGACATTCTGCAACATGAGCACAGAAGAGAAAGAGAGAAAAATGGGATGCCACACAAGGAAGTTGGAATCCAATATTGTCTGTACTATGCAATAAAAAAATTTAATTGCAGTAAACAGTTGACAGTCTTCCCTTAAAAAAATTATTTCTGTCTGTGTTGCTTTTGGAGATTTTCCTTTATTTCCTGTCTGGGAAAACCATTATCACCAGATAGTAAGGGAGAGGGAGAGAATATATCTAACATAGCCCCTGGTAGTAGAAAAAACCCAGCAAGAGTTCAAACTGGTGACTGTATTTGCATAACGACTGCCCCAGACAATGCCCACGTGTGATGCTGAAGCTCAGTGATTGAAAGAATTGAATTTCAATGACTGAAAGGAGTGGGTCAGGAACAGTAAGGCTGGGGAGGAAATATCTAGGTGATGTTGAACATCCTCCAGACAGAAAAGGAGTTAAGCTCCGACTTCTAATGCACACTAAGGGAAGCTCACAGCGTACCTTGAAATCACATTAAGCAATTTAATTACAGAAAAAGAGCCTGTACAGCTCTGGGACACTAAAGGTAATGCTGGAGTTCAGCTTTAGGGCTCAACACCAGGCAATACACAGTTGAAATAAATACATACATACATACAAATAAACTGCCTTACTTGCCAAAAGATTTGTAATTCTTTTTAGCCAGTTAAATGATCCAGACTCCCCTGCCAGGAAGCATATCCAGGTCCTTGACTTTCAGCGTGGTTAAGCAGCACAGTTTGGTCAAGGGCCTACCCCCATCCTGGTGTTTGGATGTTAAGAGAGAAGCAGCATAGTGAGTGACACTTGGAGGCTGGTCTTTCTTTTACCAGAGCGGGGTCTAGAGAATAAGGGATTACAGGAAGCTAACATAAGCAGAATACAGTTATTTTATTAGGCTTAGAAATGCATTAATAATGTTTTATTAATATTATACATGCTTGGATTAAATTGTGTTTTTTATATAATTGTTTATTTTTCATGATTTTGTATAATGTGTTATATGGCAGTTTTTTTTTGGACTCTGCATTATTAAAAAAATAACAACTGTTATCTAAATACAAATAACAACTTACCATTTATCTTTCCACAGATAAGCGACCAGGGTGGCGGTGTGCCATTGAGAAAAATAGATCGCCTGTTCAATTATATGTATTCTACAGCACCCCGGCCCAGTCTAGAACCAAGCAGAGCTGCTCCATTGGTAAGTTATAAATACTATTATCAGAAAATATAAAAGAATTCCCAAGCCCAGCACTAACCTTGTAATGATTCATTTTATCATCAGCCTTCTCCGAGTGTGGAAGGGCTGGAACTTCTTTTGAGTTTTTATTGCTGATTGTGTACCCATTGGGAAGATTTTCTCTCATTCCTGTCCAGGTGACTGCTGTCACTTCTTTAAATTCAGGTTTCCCTTCATCAATCTATGATCACCCCCTAACACACGCACCTCTATTCCATTCTTTAGACTCGGTTCACACATAGTGTAGCATTCGCTCATGTCGCGAAGGAGGAACACGCATACTCCCTGCCGCGTTTGGGGTGCCATTAACTAGTAACGACAATGCAAGCGCGTTTTGCACGCCAAAACACATATTTTTTGGCAAGTTTGACACACGTTCCCGCAATGCTTAGGTGTGAACCGAGCCTTAAGCATGTTCACACATTCCTTCCCTGAGCCGTAGGGGAGCGCTGATTCTTTTGTGTGTTCTCTTTGCAAAAAAAAAAAAAAGTTGTGGTGTGACATGGGCTTTGAATGATGGTCTTTGTCATGTTGTTGTTTTACAGTTATATTGTATTATATTGTTCTATACTATATGTAAAATAACATTCTTTTTTCTCATTTTAGGCTGGTTTTGGGTATGGACTGCCTATCTCTCGACTTTATGCCCGCTATTTCCAAGGAGACCTTAAACTCTACTCCATGGAAGGTGTTGGCACCGATGCAGTTATCTATCTAAAGGTAGCTATTCGTTATTTTGCAGCATTTGTGTTGTATGTTGTGTTTTTTTTGGTTTTAGATTTCGAGTCGTGAAGGGTTACAACATCTCTCAGGTATTTATTGCTGTCTGTCCCCAGGGGAGATTTTACAACAATTTTAGTGAGCAGCCAGGATATGATGAGGAATTTCAGTAAGGTCACAGATATTACTACATTTCACACAACAAGTGAAGTCTTAACGACATGAATGACTCAAACTCACTCAGAGAAATAGAAACATCAGTGCTGTGTTGTTTAAAAACCCAGCATTCATGTTGACCATGTACACCTCGTGGGAAATGTTTATTTGTAAAATATAGATTTTTATACAAATAATCAAACAATAGAAAACATTTATTTATAAACCTGTAACATTTGAAAAACGTAAGTGACCAGGAGAGTTTCTTTTTAACCACTTGAAGTCCACGTGTTTAGACCCCCTTCCTGGCCAGGCCATTTTTCAGTATTCAGCGCTGCGGTACTTTGACTGACGTTTATTCCGTCATGCAACGCTGTACTGAAATTAATTTTATACCATTTTTTGGGGACAGATAGAGCTTTCTTTTGGTGGTATTTAATCACCACTGGGGTTTTATTTTTTTACTATAGTAAGGAAAAATTACAGAAATGTTTAACTGTTTCCCCTATATTAAATGATAAAACATTTATTATTACCCATTTTTTTGGTAAAATATAAAAGACGGGGTCACGTCGGGTAAATAGACACCATACATGTCAAGCCTTAAAATTGCGCGCGCCCGCAAAACCTCAAAAAACAAAAAATAAATGTCAGTCAAAGTTCTGCAGTGCTGAATACTGAAAAATATCCTGGCCAGGAAGGGGGTGTAAACCCCCCGTACTTCAAGTTGTTAAAGACACAGCACTAGCACTTTGCAGAGCTGGTGCTTAAATACCTCTCTGAAACAGAGGTGACACACCCTGCATCACTTCAGGACACTCTGGATGTCCTGGTCCAGAATTTGTGGCTATCATTAGCCATACTGGCCTGGATTCCGTTAGAGCCATTAGAAGTAATGGCAGCGCTCCTGTGAGCAACATTAGAGGTACTGGCGGGTCTTCTGGAAGTCCAGGCTGGGATTCTCCAAGGAGATCTGTGAAACCTGGCAGGGACTCTGAGAGTACCATAACACAGTACCTACCATTCTCAAGATAAAATGGAAAAGATTAAAACATTTTTGGGTAGAATTCTGCTTTAGTTTGCAGGTCGGGGACATTGTGTATGTATAAAAGATACAGTATGTGTACCAGTGGGAATAGCATGTTTCAAGTAGTGGTAATTGAATAAGTAACATTACATTACATTCTGGTTTCTTTTTCTCTAGGCTGTGTCTGGGGACTCATTCGAGAGACTTCCGGTGTTTAACAAGTCAGCATGGCGACACTACAAAAACGCAGCAGAAGCTGATGACTGGAGCAATCCAAGCCGTGAGCCGCGGGATGCCTCCAAGTACAAGGCTAATTAAAGGACGGCCTTCAGGGCTCCTCGCAAACTAGCATTTCTTTTTATTCCTGTTTATTGCACATGTTGCCTGTCAGTACAGAGTAATTATGAAGCGTATTGGTCAGTAGCATTGCTTGAGTAACAAAAAAGAATGCGTTCAGGTTTATCTGCTAAAGTTAAGGCCTGGTAGTGGTTCGCCAACTGTGGAAGTTTAGGTTTGCTTTGGTTTAATCTGGTTTATAAATACAAGGTTTGCACTTAATTATATTCTATGAAATGATGTAGTAAAACGGGTTTTTCCGGTCCTATTAGGTGTTTGCAATGCACATGTAATCTATTGCAATAAGAGTGTGTGTGTCATACAAATTGCGTGTAAGGCAGCTTTGTATGACATTTTTTTTTCTTCTGGCATTAAACACTCTAATAATATTTCACATTGTGGTAAAGAGACATTATCTTCAGTATATGTATACACAGCACTGTAATATGTATGTATTAAGAGCATGTAGGCTTTAAACGTTGTGTGTATATATATATACATATATATATATATATATATACAGATAGTTATATCGTTCAGCAGCATAGTCTGCTGCTTCATCAGGGAACATCACTCCACCTTGACCTTTTTGCATTTATGCATTGCTTGAGATCTGTTTTTTACATTATTTTTGTAAAAGTCCTCCTGTCTGCTCTCAGTTTAAAGGAGAACTATGGGGTTAGGGCTTTTCCCCATAGTTCTCCTAAGGGTAACGGGAGGACACAAACTAGCATCCTCCCGTCACCCAAAGCTCAGTATACCGCGAAGAAAATCAGTCACCTCATAATTCTCCTTTAAGTATTTAAGCTGCTCATAGCCTCAAAGCAAATATTTGTAGGTGCACACACTTCTTTTAATCCACAAGAGTCACCCTGGGAGCCTCCAAACCTTTAGTGTGGAAATCTCACGTTTAAACTAAAACTCTGAAGTCACAATCCACCTGCAGTGTTCTAGTCTCCATTGGTTAGAGCAGGGGTCCTCAAACTTTTTAAACATGGGGCCAGTTCACTGTCCCTCAGACATTGCTGGGGGCCGGATCATAGTTTGAAAACAGGGGGGGGCCCAGAACAAACGTTTTTTTTTTACATTATGTTAGGAAACATTTATTATCAACCAATTTTTTGGTAAAATATAAAAGACCGGGTCACGTCGGGTAAGTAGACACCAAACATGTCAAGCTTACAAATTGCGCGCACTCGCAAAAAGACAGCACAGCCAAAATTGACCATAGGCGACGCTTTAAAAGCTTTTACCGCTCATCAGTTTGGTGTTATCAGTGATTGATGACCCTAAAATTATTGCTCTCACTGCGACGCTCGCGGCGATATGTAACATGTGCGGCGTAATGGGCACAATCGTCGTTTACGCAGGTATGCGCACCTGACGCATGTTTGCATGCGTGTATGTATGGGGGGACTTTAAAAAAAAGATTTGTTTTTTTTTATTCTTTTTTGTGTGTATCTTTAAAACATTTTTTAGGAAACTTACATTTTTTTTCCACCCAACTTTATTGCTATCACATAGGTGATAGCAATACCCCTCCTATGTGATAGCAAAAGATGTAAAAGGTCCTCTTTATGGAGACATCAGGGGTCTCCAAGACCCTTAATGTCACCTAGGACCCCCGAAGAAGCTGATGAAGCAGAGATCTGCTCCATCAGCTTCTTTCCAGCGTCTAAAGCTGGGAAGTAACACAAGAATGCGGAAGTGATGTAATATACATCACTTCCGCATTCTTATAGCGGTGAGGGGACTGGAGGGAGATCGTGTACCGACCTCCCTCTGATCCCCTGTCAGTGTGGCACTGTGCTCGTCCCGGGCTCGCACCGGATCCCGGGATCAGCGTGACAACGGGAGGAGGGAGGGGGACACACGGGCCGACCGCCCATACAAGCAATTCGCCGGCTCTATAGCCGGCGGATTGCTTGTAAGTTAACAGGCATCGCTGCCTGTTTTTAAATTGGCTGTATTTCCCGCTCGCGCGCGCCGCACGGCGCGCTAGTGGGCGTGGCTGATCTAGGGAGCTTGGCCGGCCGAACGGGCTGGGCCAAGGACCCTGGCAGGCCGGATCTGGCCCGCGGGCCGTAGTTTGAGGACCCCTGGGTTAGAGAGTCAAGGATGGAGGGGTGGGAGGGTTGTGGCAGAGCATATGGAAGTGGAAGTGGCTGTTGCATATTGAGAACCCAAGGTTGGGGCGCTTCCAGAGTTCACATGACAAATAACAGAGGCAGGGCTGGATAAATCTCGGTAGCCAAATCCCTTAAAGACCTGTTCACACGACGTCCGTTTTGTGTGCTGACCGGCTCCGTACGCTACTGCACTAAAAATGCATCCCAATGTATTATGTGTTTTATGGGCTCCAGTTCTCACGTGCGCAGTCCGTTCAGCTTACGACAGAAAAAATACTGCATGTCACATTTTGTCAGGTCCGGAAACGGTCAGGATATGCAAACGCGTCAAAAACGCATCAAAAACGCACTGCGCTGCAGCTAACATACTAACACCCCACTCCAGCAAAAAAAAAAAAAATTTTTTTTTTTTTTTTTGCTGGAACGCATAAAAAACGCGGCCAAAAACGCACTGCATCAGCAGCTCAACATCTGCTGATCAGGACCTGATCTCATGTGAACAGGCCCTAAGGCACCTAACTGTTCAGGTTTTCTCTAGTGGATGTCAATGGAGCTGGCTTCTGGATTGGACAGACTGGCTACTGTATTGCAAAATAATGTGTCCACCCCTGAACAGAGGTGTGTGGAGGGACCTCTGGGTACTTGTTTTAAGTTCTTATACAAATTTAGATAATTGTATGCTTCCCACAATGCAGCATTCAGTGACATACCCAGGGCAGTTCAGAGTTGGTGTTGGTATAGCAATTTCTGGGCAGCTCCAGAGGTGGTATTGGACAGCTTGGAATGCTGAATGTGGTTCCCTATATACAGTATACATGTTACTTTGATTATTGTTTTCAGAGAGCAGAGTCATTTGAGAAACCAGAGCAGGAAAGGAAAAGTGGAGGTGTTGTATATAACAACCAATCAGATTCTGTTATTTTCAAACCTGATTTAGAAAAATGACAATTAGAATTTGATTGAATGATGTGGGCAACATGTCTCTCCATTTCTTCTCTTTTATAGAATACCTCTAAGTGACGTCTAGATACTGTATTCTTTGTTTGACACCCTATGATTCAATGTTTTATCCTCTGTAAGAAAAGTATGACCAAAAATGTAAAACTACAAAGATGAGAATCTATGATTGCTAATTTCCTATATATAGGGCCTAGCCCATTTTATGCATGAACATTGATAGTGTGATATAGACGCACATATTCACTGTTTTAATTTACAGCACTGTATTGTAAATTGATGTTTTATTTTGTCTGTTCTGTCTTGTGGATTTTGTTCAAAAAATGTGTCTGTTCACAATCTGAACTGGTGAGGCTTCAGCTCTATACAATGGGTAGAAAAATATATTTTATTGCTATATAGTTCATAAATAAAATTTTAGTACATCTGTAAAAAAAAAAAAAATAGTCTAAGATTACCAAGGGGAAAAAAACAAGCTACTATGAAATTGCATGGGAATTTGTTCTTGGGAATCTTTTATAATTGTAAAGCTATGTGGAATCCATCAAACCAAAGAAACTGTACAAAGTTATTTTGGGTAGTATACATGAAATACTGTATTGAGCACTGTATCTAGCTGGTGTAAAAACAGCAAGGGAAAAATGGAGCAGCAACCAGTCAAATTGGATTTTACATTTCTTTAGTACAGGTTCAAGAAAATGAAAATCTGCTTGGAATAACTCTTTATTCTCTTGTTCTAATTTATATGTATCAGTCCATTGTTTCTAGTTCTTTACATATACAACTGGCTATATAATGGAGGGAAAAGGAGAAAGGAGGGGGGTTTCTTGAAAAAACAGACTCAAGAAATCATGTTTTGTGCATGTTAGTTCAACTTCAGTCACTGATAGCTTAAAAAAAGTTTTTCTTGACCAAAAAAATATTCTTTTTTTTTTTTTAGTGGGTGTGCTCAGGGTAGTTTCGTTTATTTCATTTTGTGTTTTTTGTATTTTTTTTTTTATTTGGTTGTTGTGTATTATTTTTTCGTTTCTTGTTTTCCTGTTGTTTTTTTCTTTCTGTTTAAATATAATGTTTAAATGTAAATAAGGAGGCTATTAAGGGGCTCCTTTCCAGGATAGTGGAAAGGAGCTTCAATAACCCTCAGGAATAATTTAAAGAAGATCTCCATGTAAACGTTTTGTTAACCCTTGCAGTAGGGCTACCCCTTGAGTTGCAAGGGTGAAGTCCTCGTTTTTGTCTAGGTTCAAAAATAAAAAGTTACACTCACCCGATTTGCTCTGAGGCCCCGTTCACATATAGCGAATTGTTGCGCGATTTCCGCCGCGATATCGCGCATTTTTGCCGCGCGATATCGCGAGAAGTCGCCGGCCAATGTTATTCAATGGAGCTGTCTTAACTCCATGTCGCGCGTCGCTCGTCGCGGTCGCAAGTCGCTTCTACCGGACCCTTTTTTCGGCGGATTTTGCGCGATTTTACTTTTTTTCTATGGAGCCCGACGGGGAAGGTCGCGCTACCGTCGCTGGAACGTCGCCCCGAAAGTCGCGCTATCCCGGCCGTGCGGATCCGCTGCAAAAGGTATGCCGCTATATGTGAACGGGGCCTTAGAATTAATTCCTAGTCTCTTCCGCCTAAATTCCCCTCCACTTGCAGCAGTCTAAGGCCTTGTTCACACCAAATGCAGACCAGATCCGGTCAGGTTTCTGCACACGCAGTGTAGTGGGTTGTGCCGCGTTTTAGACGCGTTTTTGATGCGTTTAGGGCCGGTTTCGGTAAAAAAAAATTATTATGGACTTTCAGGCACTTGCATGCGTTTTGATGCGTTTTTGCGTTTTAGATGCGTTTTTGATGCGTTCCAGACCAGATCCAGAGCAGGTAAAATAGGGCTTGCCGCATTTTTTTCATTTTTGTCTAACCTTTGCAGTGTGGGGTTAGCCACACTGCAAGGATTAAGAAAATGTTTATATATTACATCCTAAGAAACCTTGAAAAAAACACCTTGATTTCGCTTTCCCGGGTGATGCATATTACCATAATGATAAAATTACAAAGCTAAATAAAAACTCACTTTCGCTTATCCTTGTTCCCAACCATGGAAATGTATTCTAATGCATTCCCTTGTCCATGCCCATACACAGTGAGACTGTCACATGATTCTGCAACAGATGTTTGTATCATGTTAACTAGAGATGCACCGATACCGAGTATTTGAGTGAGTAAATGCTCCGATACTGAACTTCCAGTCAGAGGGAGATTTCCTCTGACCGGCAGTGCCGTGAGGGAACATGGAGCCGGTTTCCCAGCCAGTCAAAAAGCCGGGAGGCGGGTGATTACCTGCTGCCCAGCTCCCTGATTGGCCGGGAAGCCAACTCCATGCTG